CAAGCCAAGCACATCACTCAAGTTCATGATGCGTGACAGTATCTACCGACTACGTGCAGATAGAGTGACTGGAGTAATGGTGATGGCGGCTCTAAAAGAGGACATGGACAGCAAGAAAGCCATGCAGCTGCTTCACCAACGATTTGGTCATATGAGCATGGAGACGGTGAAAGTGTTGGCAAACAAACTCGATGTTGGAGTTAAGATGAATGCAAAAGGTCTGACTTCCTACGAGTGCGTTGCTTGTGCTGCCAGTAAGGCAAAACGAATGTCTTATAAACGGATTCCATCGCGGAAGTCCGAACCTCTGGAGACTCTCATGATGGACATTTGCTCTGTGAGCGAACAGTCTGTGGATGGAGCTACAATGTTTCTCTTTATCATAGATAGTTCTACAAGGTACAAGTGGCCCCTCCTACTCAAGAAGAAGAGTGAAGCAACGTTCCACATCAAGGTCCTGCTGAACAGGCTGCGAACTCGCTTTCCTGAGAAGAAGGTGCGACGACTACACTCTGACCAAGGAGGTGAATTTGCAAGCAAGGAACTAAGTGACTACTGCGTCGACCAAGGGATTGAGCAGCAGTTTACGAGCGCCTATTCTCCTCAAGAGAACGGCATTGTGGAGCGTGCTAATGGCGTGGTTCTACCAAGAATCAGAGCGATGCTGATGGCTACACACATGCCCAACTCCTTGTGGGGAGAAGCCTTCCTGCATGTGGTGACGACGTTGAACTAGTTGCCCACCAAGCCTTTAGGATTAGTGTCCCCGCACCAGAAACTGTACGAATCGGAGCCCATGCTGGATGATTTGCGTACTTGGGGCTGTCTGGCACACGTGTGTATTCCCCCTGAGTCAAGACAAGCGAAAGAAAAGCTGGAAGCAAGGGCAAGACTGTGTTTATTACTGGGTTATAGCGAATCGACCCTAGGCTACAAGTTCATTGACCTGGTGACAGCTCAAGTGGTGACAGCTCGTAGTGGGAATGTGAAGTTCCATGAAGAGTTAACAACCGATGGCATCTACATGAAGCATCTATTAGAGAACGCATTCTTTGATGGTGATCATACTCTACGCGAGACTGTACCTGTGGCGCGCATCAAGACCAACATGGAGACGTACCTTCCAGGTTGGAGTGACGGCATCTCTAGTGCGGAGAAGCCACTTGAGGCAGTACCACTTGCTGACGAACCTGCAGAAACTGAGTTAAGTTCAAGTGGAAGTTTGTCAATCGTTGACGCACCTGTGAGCAAGGACAGTGCGGAGACTGCTGGTGTTGCAGCACCAGCCGTGTTGCAGGATCCTGCTAAAGAAACCGAGGAAGGTTTGGAAGTGAGGAAGCGCAAGAGACGCAGAACAAAGAAGAAACCTGCAATGGTGGAGAAGGAGACAAGTGGCTTCGAGATTCAACCTCCATCAAGAGAGCCCTGCCTAAAGCGACCAAGAAGGAAGCAGAAGGCGAACGTTCGATTGTCGGATTACGTGGTAGGCCTAGTGCAGGCTATGACTACGGATGTGCAGATTCCGACGACGTACAAACAAGCACGTGCAAGCAAGTACTGGCAGCAGTGGAGAGCTGCAATGTTGGTGGAACTTCAATCGTTGAAGGGTCACAAGACCTGGAAACTTGTACCCCGCAAAGATGCCAAGAAAGTGAAGGTGATAACGTGTAGGTGGGTCTTTGCTGTGAAGCGAGATGAGCGTGGACGAATCAAACGTTTCAAGGCGCGACTAGTGATCCATGGATTCAAACAACAACTTGGGATTAACTACTCTGAGACCTATGCACCTGTGATCCGGTTCGAAACCATACGTGCGGCTATCTACTACGCTGTACAAAGAGGTTGGGAGGTGTTGCAATTTGACGTGAAGACGGCTTTGTTGTATGGAGACTTGGACGAGACTATCTTCATGGAGCAGCCTCCTGGCTTCCAGGTGGATGGACCTGGGTCCATTTGCAGATTGTTGAAGAGCCTGTACGGACTGAAGCAAGCACCGAACGTTTGGAATCGCACGCTTCATGCGAAGCTTGTTGCGATGGGCTTTACTAGGACGGACTCTGACTACGGCCTATATACATTGAGGAAGGATGGTGAAGTCAAGTTGCTACTGACTGTTTACGTGGACGATCTACTGCTAATGGGTTCACGTGACCTGTGTGCCACAATCGCTGCCTCACTGCAAGAGACATTCGAGCTCACGACGATGGGCACAGTCAAATATCTCTTAGACGTTGAGATCCTGATTGACCGGCCGCGCCGGCAAATAGTGTACTGCCAGAAGCGGTACGTACTGGAGGTGTTGAAGCGTTTTCATATGGAGAACTGTAATGGCTGTGCTACACCAGAAGCTACGACGCCCTCGAAGACAGACGTGCCTGCTTCATCTTCCCTACAGAGAACTGGTGGGTGCTCTCCAGTATCTCGTTAGTGCATCGAGACCTGACATAGCTCATGCTACCCGACACCTGGGCAAGTATCTTGCGAGCTATGATCATATGCATTTCGCACAAGCCAAGAGGGTGCTGCGTTACCTGAAGGCTACATGTGACTACGGACTAGTGATGAATGTGAAGCTACAGACTGATGTGCAAGTTAGTGGCTACTCTGATGCTGATTATGCGAATGACCCTGTGGATCGACGGAGTATCAGTGGCTACATCACTATGCTGGACGACAACGTCATCTCCTACGCATCTCGTAAGCAAGAGATCAACGCGCTCAGTACCTGTGAAGCTGAGTACGTAGCAATGACAGAGGCGACCAAGGACTTGTTGTGGCTTGCTGGCCTATGCAAGGAGTTGAGCTGGAAGCATCCAGTACCTCAACTACTGGGAGACAATCAAGGAGCCATTGCCTTAACTGCGAAGCCTGGCAAACATTCGAAATCGAAACATATCGATAACAAGTACCACATGATCAGACGCCACGTGGAGTTGAAGCAACTTACAACCCAGCACATCGGAACTGATGATATGGTGGCCGATATAATGACAAAGGCACTTGCAGTGGTGAAGTTCACACACTTTCGCAAGGCTATGAAAGTCTTACCTATTGTGTCGAGCGACGACAACGTATCCGAGGACATGGCTACAACTACGACTACTGCTACTGCGTTGACTACTGCTGTTGATGCGGAGGCTGTACCTGAGCGACATTGATGAAGACGAGGGCGATCGAGTGGGAGTGCTGTTACTGAGTGGACTGCTATTGTCTTTGAGCTGCGACTACGCTACTACTAGGACTATGGCGGCAACTAGGATGCGCGTGTGTGATCGCGTCGGCTTCCAAGTGCGTCGCCGAGATCAAGTGGGAGTGTGAGCTATAAAACTTACCTGCGTGTCGAGCGCCAGTGCATTGCAGTCTGCCAGTGTCCGGTGCCCCCATCTACGAGCCACCGTCCACTGCCAGTATCTGCAAAGACACATCCCAAGGACACTCATGCGCCTGGCAGTGCAGCTTGCGGCTGCACTACAACCGGCTACACTGAGTACACATGCGTGCAATGGCGAAGGACTATACCAAGGACTGTATGCACAAGGACATCGTTGGCTGTGCGCTGCCAAGATGGTGTACTCAAACGAGAGTGCATTTATCTAGAGTTTAGTATTGACTTATTTGCTATTTGTATACTAATCTACTTTTGCGGCACAGCGGTGTTCTGGCGGACGCTGCTCCACACTTTGCGTTTTGACGCCTGCCGCTCATCAGAGAGCAGCAGAGAAGAGCAGCCTCGCCAGACACCGCAGTCCTGTCGCGGCCTTTTGCCCGGCACTTACGTGTTTACGTAACTTCCTGATTAGTTTCCTAAAGTTGACATTTAAGTGTATTTACATTTAAATGGCTCCTACTCTTAGAAGCGATCGACACATGGAGAACAATCCCCCCGTGACGAACCCTACGTCACCACTAGCAGCCATACCGCGTCGCTGGATCAAACTAATCCGCGCACTTTGCAAGCCCCGTTGGTCCTGGCTCTGCATTTCCGTTCATCGTCGCTGTCGACGCTCTTTCAAACCGGCCCAGGCTGCGTCAGCTTGTTGCTGCCGCCGAGTTCGTTGTTCGTCTTCGAGTCTGACCATCGTTTGGATCACCTCACCGTCGCTTACGGGTGTGGCCGTCGCACGTCAGACTGCATGTTCCACACGTTGCCGCTTGGCGTCGCGCTTCGCCAGTTTCTTAGCCAACCGCACCGCAGCCGTGTCGGATCGAGTTGGCACTAGGTACTGGCCCAGCCTCATGTCCCTATCAGTTGCCACCGTAGTATCCGTCGTTGTCTTGCTCGGTGTCACTACCATCGTATCGTCGCTGTGGTTGTTGACTGCGTCGTCGTTGATGGTACCGTCGTGGCAAGCGTCAGGGACGGCATTGACGGCGTCGTGTCCGGCACCACCATCAGCGTCTCTTGAGCAGCTATTTCGCCTAGCGCACTATCTTTTCCTGACCGCGGGATGCAGCCTTCTACGTTGGCCTGTCGCCTTCCTCAGACGTCCACACGCCGCCTTCCTCAGATGCACGTGGTCGCTCGTGTCGTCCTTCTTCCCGGTTATCTGTGCCTGAGAAACAGAATGCCGTCATTGCCGGTCTCACCGTCTCCACGTACCGTTTTGCCCTCCAATCATTTCGAGCCACCATCTCCTTGGCAGCGGCCGCCTTAATCATCATCACATCACTACGGTGCTGCTCCAGTAGTTCGTTTAATCGCCTCTCCTTCACTTGTCTCTCCACTGAAATCGGCCTTTAAGGTCTTCGGGATCTATCTCGGTGGCCGTTAGGTGCAGCATCGCAGATTTCGTCAGCACTCTACCCGTCGTCATGTTCGGCTTCAGCTAGCTCGGTCTCATCGCTGCAGAAATCTTCATCAGTGGGCTCGTCTAGGACTACATTCTCTTCGGCTGGGGGGCTAGCAGCTCTTCGACGGACATCGGATCTTTTGTTTGTAAGCGCGACATCATCACGTCAAGCTCATCGGTAGTCCAGAAGACCCGTGTGCTTCCAGCAGCTCACAAAGGCTGCTGTGGGTATTGAATTCCAGCACTCTACGCTCCATATCAGGGCCCGGTGCACATTCACACTGTACAACTTTGCAGTTGTGGCAAAGTCCATTGCAGGGTCAGCCTCTAACCTGTCAATAGCGTGCTGAATCTGACGTCGCGTGTAATGTCTCTTAAACGCAGCGATAATACCTGCGTCCGGAGGTTGCCGCTTGCTCGTAGTATTTGGTTGCAAAAATACTATTTTCGTGGTCATCGACTGCGACTCGTCGTATCCCAAATGGACAGTGTCACTATCTAAAATAAGCGGGTTTGCACTCTAAACTTTGAGTCCAAGTCCTTTAACCATTTAAAAAAAATATTTCGAGTCATCCAGGCCTTGACGCTATTGGTGTAGTTGTATGTGGCAGCTGTAGTCGTAGTGAAACATCGCGGTTTTCGATTTCCCAATGAATAAAAGCGGGGGACGTTCAGAACCGTCTGCATTACATGGGAAGGCAGCTGTAAAGAGCTTCTTGTCTTTCTTTCTTTCAGCAAGGCGCTTCCTGGCTAGTGTCCGATCGGGTGGCATCGAAAAAACAGACCCGTCTCATCCGTATTAAATATATTGTAAAGCTCGTAGTTTTTAAGCAGCCTTTGTAGATCGCTAATGGGCGCGTCTACAGCAGACCCGCCCTCGGAGTGAGCCATTAAGCTGCTGAATCTATACCGACTGTTCAACTTTTGCAGTCAGCCCTTAGAAAAAACGGGGGAGGGGGGGGGCTCAATTTCCATAATCGAGGCAAAGCGAGACGCCTTAACGCGGATGACTTCACCACTCACTGTCACGCCCTTTTCTTTGCACCACGAAGCCCACTTAGCTAGCGCCGAATCGAGCGCCGGAAAGAAAACGTGGGGTCGTGACTTTAGCGAAAGCCCCTTCATTGAAATTGCTTCTAGCTCCTTTCGCTGCTTTGAAATCTTCGAGATCACCGCTTGAGACGGAAGAAGAGGGAGATCAAAGACCTGTTGATCTCACAGAGCGATATCACGCTGACTTGCATTTGGAAACTCTTTCTTTTGGCGGCATATCTGCAGCCGCTGAGCGTTGCTGAGCCGGCTACTGGTTGGCGACTTGGTAGGTGAGGGCATCTGGCAAGGACGAGCGAAATTTTCGAGTGGTAGTTGCTCTTTTTGTGGAAGTTCACCTGTGCTTGGAGCGTTAACCGCACTGGGAGCCACCAGTGACCTGAACCGCGTCGTCAACCACCAATACAGAGGATGTGTCAAGCTTTTTTTGTTATGGGTCACAGCCTCTGTAACAATACAAAAGGCAAGAACTTTGTGACCTGCCAGAGGTACACAGTGTACCAGATTTGGTGTACAGTGTAACTAGGTACCGTTTTGTTAAACAGTGTGATTCAAAGTGATTATGCAGAAGTGTCCTATGTTTACTTCTGGTTCTGTTTCGCGCTGTGGAGTGGCGGGGTGTTTCGGCTACCTTCTAGCTTTTACAGCTGAAGCAACACGCTTAATCACATGGCGCTAGCTCATGGCCGTACCCTTGGGCGGCCCGGCGACGGCTGGCTTAATGAAGACTGGCTCGCTCTCAGGCGCTAAGCCGTCAGCTGGTTCTCTACGCAGATGGATCATTGGAGGACAGCGAATCAACAGCTTGCTGTAGTGGCGAGGCGGCAGCAGGATCGGCAGGCGTGGACGTATTTTCGGCTGGAGTGGCGCCGTAGGCGTGCTACCAGCGCTATCGTCGTCACTCTCATCATCTTTCTCGAGCCAACCTCCAACCTTCTCAGCAATTATGCAAAACCAGCGTTCCATCCTGACAAGATGATCTTCGTCCGTACACTCTTCGCTAGACCCGTAAACATCACATCTCTTTTTTTACACTTTACCTGTTCCTTGTAGGTGACCTATGATATGCGTCCTGAAGCCTCTTATGAGAGGCACTTACCGCATAGCACCCCTTCCACGTTGCTTCGTCCCACAGCGGATACTCACAGCGAAAGACCTGCGAGGCCATCGACGGCTGTGAGTTTGTCTTCGTCCACGCCATATTTTGCAATGGGGGGACGGCGCACGAGAGAGTGTATATTTAGCAACACATGTTAAGAACAATAACTGAAACTATAAAAAACATTTCCGGGTTCATTTAATGAAATTCGCATTATTGAACAGTGGTTTTTATTTCGTTGTGAAACCGTGCTATTCCATGGGAGGTTGAGTTCAATACTATGCACTTTCATAGACTGCGGTCGCTCAATGCGCCAGGCGTGAGGCTCACGTTTTTGCGCTTCGGCTCTAATAATTTCGGGGGGGGGCTCACTTGCAGCAAGGAAATTGATTGCCTCGTATAACAACTTGCGACCCTTTGAAATATCGACGTTCAGAATCACTCGAACGCCATTTTTAGCCGTGACATGACTCGAGTTGGTACAACCTACAACTATATACTCTGTCCAAACTTTAACCACAGACTTTAATCCTCGAGCAAGACGATAAAGAACAGGTTCACCCAATGGCTTCGCCTGCTCGTTCGATTGTCCTGCATGGACAGGAGCAAGGACGAGCTAAAATCGTCTACCGGCAAGCGAGCTAAGTAGCGTAGCGAAGAAAATCTTTAATAGCTGTCAGACGCAGCACTGTGCTTGCGACATGGCTTTCCCTCACGCTGGTTAGAATAGGGAGCGCTGCGCGTACCGTAGGGATCAATTCCGTGTCCGATGATCTTTGAAGGAGCGCTAGCTGTTGGTTACCAAAACCTTGGTAGTCTGTTCCTGTGAATAGAGCGTGCTTCCATATTGGAAGATTTGGATAAGCTTTCTGGAGGAGGACAGCGTCCTGAAAACCCCTTCTCGTCAATATGCAGGCAGACGCAAGACTCCTTGCCCTGCTAAATCCGGAATGTCTCCCTTGTCAAACAGCGGCTGTAATGTTTCAAGCCATGAAAATACTGCTCCTCGCAACGTTTCAGATATACAGCTCTCGGCCCGAGGCAGAAAGAATTCTCCCCCATTTGCAATGAAACCTGCTAACGCACGGTCAACCTCACGCGGCAGAGTAGTCAGAAAACAGCCTTTTATTTTCTCGTTGCTCCACCTGCCACCCCTTCTTATTCTAGCTTCGGATGCGCCATTCGCTTTGGCGATGACGCATGAGCTAGTCCTGAGGATGTGTGTAACCTGGAATTAAAAACAAAAACAAAGCGTGTTAATCCGTGTGATGTGAAAGCACGTGATTCAATGCGAATCCGTGAGATGCTAAACGCTGGCAGCATCATAGCATGCTAAACCATGTTACACCTTACCTTTTAGTTTGTGACACTTCACGCTTTCAGGGGCTTCTTCAATTTGCTAGCCTGTGCGCTGTACGATATCTCGCGGTCCTTAATCTTACCATCGATGAGCTGGATGTTGTACCACGATGATCGAATACGCAGGTCTGGAAATGTCTCCCCGACTACATGGATCGGCCAAAAACGCCAAAGCTCCAATAGGGCACAGTATGACATTGCGGTGTCGAATACAGCCGCCGTATTCGATACGGCCAGCCTGACTCATCTTGCCTTGGTCCATTACAGCAAGCGTCGCTACACACTTCGTTCGACCTTCGTTGGGGAGCTCCATTGAGAACAGATATGGTAGCTGAAGCTTCCTCGCCGTCTCCCCCGCACCATAACGCGTAGCCGAAGAGAATATCCACTCGATCGCGAAGAGCTCGACCGCTGTTTAGCTCCATGAGGTACGCTGACACATTGTGTACGAGTACGTGTCCGGTACGGTACCTTTGCCCCAGTCATCGTTTTCTGCGCGCCTACGCGCTCCTCATTCGCGCTTATGGGTGCGGAAGTACTCAGAAAGTGCCTTACCACGCGGATTCGGGTGGGACCCAATCACGAAAGACTTTTGGGTGCTGTAGAGGTCTACTACTGCCTTCACATACCCTCCTAGACCCTCCGCCGAGAGAGGAACGACCTCCCCGACCTGTTTGCACCACAGGCCTCGTGAACGCACCGCATCTTCGAGAAATAGCCAACCTTGCCCTTGGTCATGTCACTTTCACCTACAAACTGACCGCCGCTGTACAACCTAACCCACTCCCCTTGTTTGGGCTCGTTGATGCGACATGTGCTGCCCACGCGACGCTTAAGACTGTCCGCCACAACTTGTTGGACGGCGCCTTGCACGGCAGCGCTGTCTCGATAGCGAGAGACGCGCTAGCTGCCATCGGCAACATTAAAATGAATGGCTGCACCGAGGTCGCCCCCTCGCGAATTTTCTGTCCTCGCCCCTCTCCCATAATGTCAAAACATGTTTTCACACTCATTTGACAAACGCTCAACAGTCGACCTCTTCTTCCTGATACTGTGCATACCCACCTAACCGCAGTCAATACATGGTGTATATCTCTTGTTTGTGCTCAAAACCAGAATATATCAGCTGTGACTTTTGTGACAATGTCCCAGCTTGACCGACGACACAACCCTTGTAATGGTACAGCTCTGGATTGTGATTCCTCTGGATAGTTATAAAGTGGCTTCCCGACGGTATCACTGCAAAAAGGATTGTCTGTACTATTGAATTGTATTACAATACTGCACCCCGTTTTCGCACCTTTGATAAACTTCCGGATGTGCTGATCCTGAATCCAAATGAACTATTGTTTGTATGCTAAATTCTGATTTATTAGCAAAATCTATATGTCCACCCCTATGAAAACGGGGTGCAGTACTGTACGATATAGGTGCGCGATTACATGTAGCTTAGGGAATCAGTCAGAGGAATTTCCATAATACAGTACATATGTACTGAATTTGTTCACCAGGTCTGTAAAAATGAAATAAATTTGTGTAATGTTAACATTACCTACTAAGTGCACTGCGGACTTAACCACAACAAAATTTATCCTTAAAATGAGGATCAATTGAGTTTTATGATTTAGATATCGGGGTTATTTTTATCCTTAACCCATTATTTTTAGAATAAAGGAGTGTTGATCAGTCGAGCACTGTGCTATTGCGTATAGTGCTCAGTACGCACGTTCACGTGGCGCCAAAGCCCATGTCTGCGAGCGAACCATCCGATGACGACGTGTGTTGGTCTGATACCGACTCCGACGACGAGCAAACAGCTGCAGGGACCTCGAAGAACATCAACTGTAACCAAGTGCGCGTACAAGTGGACGACGTGGATAAGCTTCTGCTAGAGAAGGCGCGAGATGAAGAAAACCACGTTGTCAAGCGGTTATTGCAGCGGATGTTCGGCACCGCACATAACAACACAGCCAGCATTAGCATATCAAGGATCCTATTCACGTGGCTGGATTCCTCAATTCTTTTGTAGTTGCAGCAGTTTGTAAACGTGAACTTAGATGAAGCTGCGGCCGTCACGGTTGACGAGCTCTTCCCGTTTGTGGAAGTTGAGCTCTGGCTGAGCTTCTATCGTGTGACTCCGACATTCTTTTTGATAAGAGGAATCGAAATCAATACCCACCAGCCAATTGCCGCATGGCATTTGCGAGATATCGCTCTATTCTCGCCGCTTTGGGTACGACAAGGAGCCGGGATATAGAGGGCTC